GTGGTGTGTGCGCTGACTCATAGCCCCCCACCCCCCAACTGAACAAGACAAGGCCGCCCCTCGCTGTGTCTGAGCCCATGGTTGCAGCCACTGTGTCCATGCATGTCCTTGAGGGTCTTCCTCATTCTTGCTGACTTCCTACTGGATCAAGCATGCAGTCCTCCTCCCCGCTGACGACCTGCCCTGGGTCCATGAGACGAAGCCTGGCCGTCAGGGCTCCAAGGAGGACCCCACTGCAGGGCACTTAGTAGCCGGTGCACAGTAAGGAGGGACCGGGAGGTAGATGTCATCTGGACAGGAGGGGTGGGATGCTTGGGGCAGATGTCACCTGGGGGTGGGCAGCCTTGGGTGGGTGCCCTGATCTGTCAGAGGAGCCAGAGTGTTTGGATGCCCCAGTGAGGTCTCAGAGCAACGTCTAAGGTGTGATTGTAGGGGAGGCTCTGACGGATGCGGTGACCCCATCTTGAGCACAAGCATAGCTGCTGCGCCCACAGGCCCAGGGCTGATGTTTCAGAAGCAGTTCACCAGCCCTTTCCTCTGCGGCTCTCTATGGACTTAAACCTTCAACACCAGCAGCAGGGTATACTACGGGCTCACAACAAGTGGGAATCCCTGAGGGCAACTTAGACCAGAACAGGCCCCCAAGACAATGTCCCTCACTCTTCAGACCTGGGACTAAACTACCTCTGGGTTGGGATAACTACCCATTTAAGACCAAAAGGGCAGTATTGACCCAGGGGCCAAGCTCTGAGGGTTAGGGGAGACGCAGGCCTGGATGCAGGAGGCTCAGCAAGGACATGAGCAGAGTGACAGCCTCCTGAGAGGACAGCATCATTAGAGCCAAGTCAGGAAATGGAGGGATCATTGGATAAAAAATCTGATCTAAGAGAGGAGGGATCATTGGATGTAAAACTCTGATCTGAGAGAGGAGGGATTGTTGGATATAAAACTCTGATCTGTTCTGTAACCTTCATAGAACTCACAGCACAGAATTTTGTTTTTCTTAAACATTAAAGGTGAATCAGCAAACAATCAAAAGGAAATAAAATACACAATTAGAGCAAAAGTGAGACAAGCCCAAAGTGTCTGTAAAGCCGAGGATGAAGCAACTCCCGAACCACGAGCCCAGCAATGGTGGACACCAGGCACCGTGGGCGAGTCTGGCTCCTGCTGAACCCCTGGAGTGAGGGTGCTGAGACAGGGGGCTGATGGCATGGTGACAGACCCCCCACACCGAGTGAGATCTGCAATGGCCCTGATCCTGGAATGTATCCCCAAATTCACCCAGGGCACGGGGCTGAGGGGCCACCTTACGGGCATTTATCGGGGTATCTGATCGGCATGTGTTCTGCTCATTCTGTTGGACTAAGTGTGCTAAAGTCCTTCAACCTGCTACTTCACTTTGGAGCACAGGGTGGCTTAGACCCTTAAGCCTTGCTCACCGCCAATGTAAATTCGTTCCATCTGTAAACCTGCTCAACCACCAGCCTCAAGGTCACCCAGGGGTGCCTCCGAAGAAAAGTCTGGTGATCAAGTTCTGAGAAACCAGCTTTTGAGTGAGACCAGCCTGCCCTGACACACTGGTGGCTCCTGAGCTGGGCTCTGCAACACGGAAGCCCGCGGCGTATGGTGAACCCTGTGTTTGTACCCACTTTTCTCATTTCTGTTAGAAGGAAATGCCTTTGTTTCCTGGGAGGAAATAAGACCCGGATACACAATTAGCCTGACAGGGATTATTTAGAAACAATGGTCTTAGAAAGAATTAAGAGCAGCATTTACATGACTAATCCAATTAGAGGGAGGAGGCGGGAGTGGGGGGCTGACGGCACCGTGAATTGGACACTGGGAAGTCCCAGTTAATCGTTTGAGGAAAGATGCTGGGGCATCATTCTCAAGGGACTAGGGGCTAACCCAGGCCACACAGCCTCATCGTGGTCCATCCCCTGCTAATACCCAGAAGGTCTGTCTGCCCTCCCACCCCCAATCCCACTGGGACCGTGATGTCCTCCTAGCTGTTAAAGGCTTGGCAACAGTGACTTGGGGAGTTGGACTCATATTTATTTGAGGACCGGAAGGCTTCCGGCATGGATGCTACTCGTCTGCTGGAGGCATGCAGCAGGAAGCGGAGGGTTAGCTGGGTGCCTGTGTCAGCTTAGACCATTGA